CGCCGCAATCCCTTCTCCTCCATTCTCCTCTCGGGATCTTGGGCACGCACGCACACGTGCCCAGCGTGAGTTTAAGCCACCGGGTCCGGGATGTGAACTGTGGTCGACTACATGGGAGTCCAGCAACATAGCCATTACACTAACTGCTGGTCCCTGCCTACCTTTTTTCTTTTTTGAGAGAGAGATTTTTGCTATAGGGCACAAGAGACAGAAAGCAAGAAATCACCCTCCAGGTGGGATGGCCACACCACAATCCCTTCTCCTGCAGTCTCTTGGGATCTTGGGCACACACCCACACACCTGCCGGCCTGAGTTTTAAGTCACCCAGTCTGGGATTCAAACTGCAGTCAACTGTGGGGGTCCAGCAGCGTAACCACTCCACCATCTATTGGTCTACAACTTTTTTTTGTTTTTTGAGAGGTTTTCACTATAGGGCGCATGCGCTCGCCAGACAGACAGAGAGAGACATAGAGACAGAAAGAGAGAAAGTGAGAAATCATTCCCCAGGGGGATGGCCACGCCACAATCCCTTCTCCTCCATTGTCCTCTCGGGATCTTGGGCACGCGCACACACGTGCCTGGCGTGAGTTTAAACCACGGGGTCCGGGGCTCAAACCACGTTTGACTACATGGGAGTCCAGCGACTTAGCCATCACATTAACTGCTGGTCCAAGACATTTTTAACCCGTTTCTTCTCACTCCTGCCATGTTTCCCTCCCCTGCAGGTTTCTCTTTCCCCCACCCCAGTGGGCTCATTAACTCGCTAGAGAGAGACAAGAGGGAGAGGGAGAAGAGATCTCTGAAGGGACGCTGTCCACCACAGTCCCTTCTCCTTGTCTCTCAATCCGGTGGGTTGAGCACACACATGCGCCTGGCGTACTTTTCAAGCCACATCTGGGTTCAAATGGTCAGCCTTTGTGACCTGGCCCCTTAACCGTGAAGCCCTGGGCCAGCCCTGACATCCCCTTTCCTTTGCTGGCTGAGTGTTCTGATCCACAGGAGGGACATGGGGGCGCCAGGGAGCGCCCCTGTGAGCCCTGAGCATCACCAGGTCTGCCCAGGAGAAGGGAGGGCTGGGTCTCTGGGCCACGGGGACCCTGTGCATGGGCAGCGTGCATGTCCATCCCAAGCGGGCCTCCTCCCTGGTCGAAGGTCTGGCCGAGCCTCCCTGTGGCTGTTTGGGCCAACGTGTCAGGATACCGGCTTACTGCTTTTGTTATTCCTGGTCCAGACCCGTGGTGTGCAGGTGGCAGCCTGGGAGTCCTCGTGCTGCAGTGTTTATACACAACTGGATCGGAACTCTTTTTTTTTTTTTTTTTTTTTTTTGCTGTAGGGCACGTGAACTCACCAGAGATACAGAACCAGAAATCGCCCCCCAGAGGGTATAGCACAATATTAAGCTGCCAGGTCTGGGACTCGAACCATGGATGACTGTAGGGGAGTCCAGTGACGTAAGCATTATGCCATCTGCTGGTCCCACAACCGAGTTTGAACTCTGACCTTAGACCTTGACCTTCCTCCTTAGCAGCAACCGCTGGCCGGAGTCCTGGTCAGCAAGGGCTTACAAGGAGAGCGGGCAGCCTGCCTGGGCCTTCGCACCCTGGGCCTGCCCCACCCGGCAGGCCTGTGTCCTGGGATGGTACTGTCGCTGGCACAGCTCACCCTAGTGAGCAAACAGGTCTGGGCTAGGCACGGCACCGAGCCCTCGCAGGGCCCCAGCTGCGGCCCTGCGGGTGCGGGACACACAGACAGCGTGGCCATTGCTCAAACAGCTGCATTTCTCAGTGGTTGGTTTGGCTTGATTTTCTAGTTCGCTCTACTAAGTGGGTGAGGTGGTGCAGGTCACGCGAGGCTTCCACTGTGATAGGGATCTGGCCCTCAGGACCCTTTCTGCTGCCCTTCCTGAGTCCCACAGAAGCCAATGTGGCCATCACTGAGCCCCGGCCAGCCTCCAACCCCCACAGGTTGTCTTGTGGAGAAGGAGGGGCAGGGGTCCCCTGCAGGCCATGGGCGTGCGTCAACACCCCCGAGACCCTGTTGTGCCTCCTGTGGGTTTGTGAGTGTGCGGCCAAGGCCGTGGCTCAGGGACTGTCCACGCACCAGAGGGACCGTGCCTGGGCAGGGCTGTGGGCAGCTGCAGTACCAGGGACAGAGTGCCAACAGCACTGAGGCCTGGGGACTCAGCCCAGATGACATGGGTAAGACAGGCCCTCTCGGGAGGAGCCCAAGGACTGAGGGTCCCTGCACCTGGCAGGCAGCCGGGCGTGTGCCACCCCAGCTTCCCCAGGAGCTGCCAGAGCAGAGGGCCAAGGCTTGGAGCTGTGACCTTCAGGGACATCTGCACATCTCTGAGGGGAGGTAAGGTGGGCTGTCCCCACAGGTGCCTGGGTGGTGGCTCTTGGAGTCTGGGGCTGTGGTGGGTGCCCATGCTGCCCACAGCCCCAGCCCTTGTTTGGGTACCATGGGCTTCCGGCCCACCCAGAGCGCCCAGAGGGCCAGGTGGTCTCAGAGCGCACACATGTGACCACCGCAGAGCGCCGCAGGCCCTCTGCACGCCCTTTCCAGACTTGCCCACTGCCGCCTGCAAGGCTGTCCGCGGGTGACAAGTGCAGGCCACACAGCCAGCAGAAGGACCGTGAGTCCACCACTGCGTTTATTAAGGTCGATGCCACATCTGCCGGGAGGGTGGCCGGGAGGGGACCCGGCTGCCACCTGGCCTGGTTTCTGAACTGAGGGACCGTGTCTCGGGCTCCTAGGGAGACCCTGGTCAGCGACCAGCCACAGGGACTGGACAGCTGAGTGCGGGCAGAGCGTGAAGCCGGGAGTGAGGGGCAGGGGAAGGGCAGGGACAGAGGCTCATCTACGCAGGGTGGGGCTAAACCCAACCGAACCGCACGTGCTCTCGTCTGTCGCGGGGGCCGCGCCGCGCAGCCCTCAGCCGGACATCTCCCGCTGCTCCTTGTTCCTGCGCACCTCGGCCGCGTGCAGCTCCTGCAGGACCGGCAGGGCGCGCTGAGTGCTGCCGAGGCGGGGTCGCACGCTCGCCCGAGCACTGGCTCGGGCAGGG